CAAATCAGCGTGAACGGAAATCAACTGCAAGTGGTAGAGAACTTCCCGTACCTGGGCAGCACGCTCTCCCGCAACACCAAGATCGACGACGAAGTCGCCAACAGGATCTCGAAAGCCAGTCAAGCCTTCGGTCGCCTCCAAAACACAGCTTGGAATCGTCATGGTCTCCAACTGAGCACGAAGCTGAAGATGTACAAGGCCGTCATCCTGCCGACGCTACTGTGCGGAGCGGAGACCTGGACGGTGTACACGAGGCAGGCACGTCGACTAAACCACTTCCACCTCAGCTGTCTCCGCCGCGTACTGAGGCTGAACTGGCAGGACCGCATCCCCGACACCGAAGTGCTGGAACGGACGGGAATTCTGAGCATCTACTCCATTTTGAGACAAATGCAGCTGCGCTTGAGCGGCCATCTGGTACGCATGGACGACGAGCGACTACCCAAACGACTCTTCTACGGAGACGTCGCGACGGGTTCTCGTCGTCAAGGAGGCCAAATTCGCCGTTACAAAGATACTCTGAAGTCCTCCCTGAAGCGCCTGCACATCAACCCGACCAACTGGGAAGAGCTCGCCCGCGATCGTCCGACATGGAGGAGAACAGTGAAGGCGGGCGCTGCTATCTACGAAGCCAACCGCATCGCCGCCGACAAAGTGAAACGCGAAGTCCGCAAATCACAGCTTCGCCCAATACGCAACGCCGCCGCACAACCTCTCCCTACGTGTCCTCGATGTCAACGGACATTCCGGGCACGAATCGGACTTGTTGGACATCTTCGAACCAACTGCACCTCTCGAACTGCTCCAGCCATCGTCCCCGCGCCAGCCTCTTCCTCGTCCTCTCTTCCGCCAACTAACTCTGACACTCCTTCTGCACCACCACTTCCATCCTCCTCCTTCTCCTCCACTGCCCCAGCGGTGGCCGTTCAGGCTGCCGTCTCACACATCGCCAACCACGACACAGCAACCGCAACCACCCCCACCTGCCCTCACTGCGACCGCACCTTCACCTCACACAACAGCCTGGTCGGTCACTTGCGAATCCATCGCACAGAGGCTGGTGAACCAGTGCCTGGAGCACCAACCTACACCCACCGCACTCGCCTCCACTGCCCACAATGCCCTCGCACCTTCCGGCATCGCATGGGCCTATTCGGCCACATGCGCATCCACGAGAGCGGAATTGACCGCAGCCTTGACACACCCACCCCGCCGAGCCCCACTCCCAATCCATCACCTTGTGCACCCACTAACCACTCCCTAGCCGACATCGACGCCACCGACCTTACCACCCCTCACTCCCCCCCTTCCTCCTCCACTTCCTCCTTCACTGCCACAACGACGGCCACTCCGGCGTCTGTAGCGCACGACTGTACCACAGCCGCACCTGACACAACAACAGGCACAACCTCTGCAACCTCCATCAACAGATGTGAGGGCCCGGACTACATCTGCCCTCACTGCGATCGCACCTTCACTTCACGCGTCGACCTGGTCGGTCACTTGCGAATCCATCGCACAGAGTCTGGCGAACCAGTGCCTGGAGCACCAACCTACACTCACCGCACTCGCCTCCACTGCCCACACTGCCCTCGCACCTTCACGCATCGCATGGGTCTATTCGGCCACATGCGCATCCACGAGAGCGGCATTGACCGCAATTCCGATACAGCCACGACATCCAACACGCCCAGACCCATCCTCGCCCCACCGTCACACGCGCCGACCACCACCACCGCCACCACTGCTTCCTCTACAGCTGACACCGACACCGCCGACCTCTCATGCCCACATTGTCCACGCACCTTCACCTCATGCATCGGCCTGGTCGGTCACTTGCGAATCCATCGCACAGAGACTGGCGAACCAGTGCCTGGAGCACCAACCTACACCCACCGCACTCGCCTCCACTGCCCACACTGCCCTCGAACTTTCAGGCATCGCATGGGTTTATTCGGCCACATGCGCATCCACAACGACCTGCGGTAGACAACCGCCGGTCACACCACACATTCCCTCACTCCCTACCTCCTAACATCATCACCCCACCAGACATCAACCCTCACACACCTCATGCACTCAACTGCCGCCT